CATGTAAAAAAATGTAATTGAATGACTTAAAGGAGGGAAAATCTCTTGTCTCTTGAAATCGCTGAAGTATATTGTTGTTAAGCACAAAGGACAGCATTTTCCAAAATGGCTGATGAATTTGACTAGTCCCATTTCTTCCTGACAGTGGATATTTCATAGGTACTGGAGTTAAAGATAAGGACTGGAGTCAAAAAAAGTAGCATATTTGACATTTTGCACAACTGATGCCCATTCAGATGGTATCAGTGAGTTATTTAGAAGTGGAGACATAGTATTAGCTTTTGAAAATAAAACTAATTATCCCTAAAGAGCTACTTGCTTAGAGACTTCTGTGCATTTTATTAGCTTTTTCTTTAATTAAAGAACATCACCCCATCCACTTTTTTCTTTTTTAAGATTATCCCTCTGGACCATTTGTTTAAGAAGTTGATAAATTTGCCAGACTTATATCAGTGGTTGAGATTTAATTTTTTAGGATTTTCTTGCAGCTTAAAGTTAGTAAGAGCTGAAAAGTTGGATCTGTGGCTCTCTCCTAGTGAAAGAAAAGGCAATTCCCAGATATCAAGGAATGCCACAGCATGATATGCCATCAGGTGTTTCATTTTCTCAACCCCTTCGTATGACTCTGAATGTTATAGTGTAATTCACTTTTTCTTTTTTTGTGGATTTTTGGTAGGAAGCATGAGCTTTGCAGTTCCTCTCACTACATCCTCTGAAAATGCCTGACATTGATGATCTCACTGAGGTATCAATGTTCACAATAAGCAACAGGCAACTTGAAGGAATATGGTAGTTTTTAGAATTTTAATTTCTTTTCCTCTTCAGTATTTTTTTAACAGGATTCTATAATACTGCTTATCTTACTTATGTCTACCTGAATATTTCAGCTGCAAACTCTCCAAAGCTTATATCTGTGCATTTTTTTCAGAACACCTACAATGATGCGGCCATTTTTTTCTCTTAGCGTTTCCTGAATATCATTTTAAAGGATAAGAAATCAAAGAATGCCATAAGGACTTCTTGCATTGTTGCAGGCACAAGTAACAGGACCTAATAAAGGTAAAGATCTTATACGCACTTTTTTTTTTTTTTTTTTTTTTTTTTTAATGCATGCACTGGTATGTAAGAGGAGTCCTCTGAGTTGGGAGGAGGAAAGAAAGATGTGTGATGAATATATTCTAAGTTGTGTGGAGGTGACTCTCATAGAATCATAGAATAGTTAGGGTTGGAAAGGACCTTAAGATCATCTAGTTCCAGCTCCCCTTCCAGGGTCAGGGACATCTCACACTACATGCCACCCAAGGCCTCATCCAGCCTGGCCATGTACACTGTCATTCACAAGATGCATATATGCCCTGTCTCTGAAGGTGACAGTGATTTAGGTTTGTTCTTTGAGTAATTTCCTTATTATAATTGTTCTGGACATTAAGCCTTTTGGCAGCTGTTGAATGCTAACTTTCTTTGCTCATCAAACAATATTTTCTAATTCTGCTAAATGCATTAAAGGCAATTAGCAGTCTCCATCTTACATCACCTTTCCTCACTGTCATTGCCTTTGTCTAAAAGTTACCTAAGTATAATTGGGAACATAAGGTGTTCGAGCTGTTAACACCGGGTTAGATCTGTTATTAGTCTGAAAGGTTTGCATGGAGATTGTTTTTTGTCTTCTTTACAGGTACACCAAACCTCATTTTTAGTTATTTCTTGTCACAGGGTGAAGCCTACCCACAAACAATATTGAGATAAATGAGACCATGACTGCATCTGCCAACCCTAAATGTTTAAATTAGTCTGGTATGTGAAGGAAAGAAAGAAAAAAAAAATCAGGGATTATGGAGCTGTTAATCACTTTACATTCTTGGAAGATATTTGGAAAGATGAGAGGGTGAGAGTAACCCCAGTAACAACCGATATTTGGCCTCAGATATAGGGAATGATATTGTCCTGGGTCTGCTTGGCTAGTGAAGCCATTGGCTCCCAACAACTTAATTTTTAAAAGAGCTACTTAAGACAATAACACCTCAGATATGGGGGTGAAACTCCTCTCTCCAGGGCCCCCTGACACCGAGTGTAGCCAGGACTTGGACAGTCCTGCGGACAAAAGCAAGTGTCCAATTCTCCTGGGTCCCAGCTGCTTGTCTAGACTGGGCTGGGGGGCTGAGCAGTGAAAATAAGAGGTGTGTGGATGTCACAGAATTTCTCTCCATCCCATATACCCATCCTTCTTAGTAAATTAATCTTACCTTTTTATGTCATACCGAGTGATCCTACCCTACTGTCAATAACAGAACATGATCGTAACAAAATAAAACATTGTCCCAGTTTCAGCTGGGATAGAGTTAATTTTCTTCCTAGTAGCTGATACAGCTCTGTGGTTTGGCTTTAGTCTGAGAAAAATGTTTTAGCTGCTGCTGATTAGTGCTTACCCTAAGTCAAGGACTTTTCAGTCTATCATGCTCTCCCAGTGAAGAGGGGCACAAAAAGCTGTGAGAGACCATGACCAGAACAGTTGATCCAAACTAGCCAAAGTGGTATTCCATACCACTGAATGTCATATTCAACATATAAACTGGAGACAGTTAGCTGTAAGGGGCTGATTGCTGCTCATGGGTGGGCTGGGCATTGGTCAGCAGGTGGTGAGGAATTGTATTGTGCATCACTAGTCTTTTTTTTTTGGGGGGGGGAGTGCTTATTCCTTTGTCTCTTTATTTAATTTTATTCTTCTTGTTATTGTTGCTATTATATTTTACTTTATTTCAAGTACTAAACTGTTCTGCTCCCCACCAGCCAGTGTGGAGGGGAGTGAATGAGTGGGTGGTTGCATGGTGCTTAGTGGCCAGCTGGGCTGAAACCATGACAAGTATCAACAGAGTAGCATCACTAATGAAACCCAAACAATGTTATGGCTATTATCACTTAGAAATTGATTTCCTGATAAAGCTCTTTAATTCAATTTACTTATTTTTTGGTACACTATTTATTATTCTACCCTAGTAATCCATCTGCTTGTGCATATCCACATTAAAGAGGGACTGGATAACAATAATTGCTATGAACAAGTCCCCATGGGCTGGAATAAAAGTGTTCTCTCTTCACACATACCAGTTTGCTAATTACCATCATTTTGAGCAGGAGAATACTAAACCTAAGCTTTAAGCTTTTCTTAGAATAAAATTGTTCAAAAATGTTGTTGCTTTCTTTGTTTTGTTTTTGTTGGGTTTTTTTGAGAAATTCCTTACTTGACTTCTTGTTGTACCAGTTCCCTCTTGGTGCTGTATATCATGTGTACCTAGGATAATTTGAACTCAAATGGATTTACTGTGGTTTTATACCACTGAAGACAGAACTATGATTTTGTCGTATCATAAACTGCTTTAGAGTTAATGCGACCACATGGATTTTATCACTTCAATCCAACTCCATGTCTCCAGAACACAGGGTAATACACGGGGTGATTTCCATCTGTTTAGAGAATCAGTAGTGCTGACCTCACCCTCAGGGCCTTTGTACAATATTTTGCAGTGAAATGTGAAAAATCTCAGCATATTATCTGAGTTGTAAGAAATGAATCATCTCAGATCCAGATGCCGTACAACCATTTGTTTTCCTTCCTGAACTTAGCTTTACAGTTATAAGGTCCAGTGCTTTTTATTTGGTTTGGAATAAGTGCACAGTTTGCATCTGTTGCAGTATATCATGTAGGCATTCCTTCTGTGAAAAAGAAATGCTGATAATAGTCTTGATTTAAGCTTAATTTATTTGAGATTTAGAATGACATAAATGGTTTGGAGTCCATTCATCTATAGCAGTGGGAATGAAATTGGAATGAACTCTTATGTTTGCTACTTACTTCTCTTCTAAGACAGCTTTCTATTAAAAAAAAAAAAACATTTCTCTGTATGTAGGTATAACTTGTGACTATGGAGAGCTTTATTATTATATCTTTTCTTTGCAAGTTTACTCAATACTATTACTCAATACTATTTCCAACTAAATTTTTTTTAGAAATCTCTCTATACAATTAGTTCACTCCTTACAAAAGATCCCTTTATCTACAACAAACCTTCCTATTTTACACACTGATAAACAGATCTACCAGTAGGGTTATGGCTATCATCTTATTTCAGCTACTGTGAGTCAGAATTAATTTCACCGAAAAGAGATTTGTATGGTTTTAGTGTTGGTATAAATGAGGTCAGAATCAAGCTGATAGTTACCAGAGTTGGCTTCTTTGACATTTGTTTCTTAATAAAAAGAGATATTTTCCACATTTTCCAGATGATAATGCCAGAGATTTTAGCAAATATTAAAAATCATTTTGGGGTCTTTGAATTAGAAGTGTCTCAATCCATTTGGTAGTTAAGGACCAGAACATGACAGCTACCACCACCAAGAGGTGGCCTTGTCAGAAACAGCTAATGCAGGTAGGTCTCAAAGAATGGAAAGTTTTTCAAGCCATTAAGAAAAGATCTCACTTTATTGCATAAATGATGAAAACCATAAATATTTTTGCTCAAGCACTTAATCCATACTTGGAAATATGCATAGACAGCAATTTTATTAGTAATAAATAGAATTCTGTTTTACTTGAGGAAGTACACATCCCAGTACACTGAGAAATGACACAAGGTAAATGAATGAAGGCATAACTTCTCTATTCCCTTATCTAATATTTACGTTTAACAGTTGAAAATTATTGGTTGGAAATTGGTTGGAAATTATTCAATGAAAAAAATTGCATGGGCATATGTAATAAGAAATCATAACATTTTATTCTGAATAGATTTCTTTTTTCTTTCCCCCCCCCCAGCTTCTTCGTTTGTCCCACCACTTTGAATAATTAAGGAAGACTCGGAGAGTCCATGACATGCTTTGTTTGACTTAAATGAGAAACTGGGACCATCTCTTTATAAAAAGCAAAACAACTGTGGAGAAATACAGAAAATACCAAAGGTGTCAGGTGTATCACCTCCAAAGAATCCTTTAAACTCAAGGCTTACCTTGCCCACATATTGAGTATCTGGACCTGTGTACTCCTCCAGCAAGAAAAATTGATTCCACATCCAACCGCGCTTGGTGCGGTGCAGTGTTTTTCCATCATTCTCTGACAATCCTGTTAACCTTTCACTGCCTGAGTGCTTGTTAGTCCTTTGTTGGGATGGCATCACATGAATCACATGAAACATACAGCTCCAAAGAAAGACCATCAAGGAGTAAGTCCTCATCATTTACAGAGATGCTGTTAGCCTCCACTCCACTAATAATTCACAGGAAGTATTTTTTTTTTTTAATGTTATATTCCTCTTGTAAGTAGGACCTAGGGGATGGAGAAAATATTTGGGTAAGTTGCAATACCAACAGCCTAGTGATCATGACAGTAACCTGTGGAAATTGCATATAACCATAAAAATTACTCAGGGAGTTTTAAGTCAAGTTCTGTATTTTTTCCTTTCTCATCTTCTATTTCACTCTCTCACACTGTATAAAGTCATAAATTTAAAGCACAGTCTGAGGAAAATACTACTTTATCTGAAAGCTTCAGCTTCCAGCAGCCTCCTGACACACCTAAACAGCTCAAATAGTAAGAAGCCTTCCAACCTATTCTCTCCCATCTCAGCCTAATGCTATCTTTTCTTACTGTCTGTTCAGAATTGCTGCAAATCTCATTTTTCTGTTCCTTCATGAACACAATCCCCTTTGCTAGCCCCCCAGTGGTCCAGGGGATCTGCTTCTGTTTCTGCATGAAGGAACTCATAATATTAGCTGAAACTTTAAAGTATTATTGATAACTTCAACAGATTCCTTGTTCATGAAAGAAAAAAAATACTTGTTACGTAAGTTTTGATTCATAGAAATTCTCCTTGGGTTAACAAACATCTGTATTTGGGCCAGAATTCTGAATCTGAAATCTATTTTATTTTTTTCCCTCCTCAGTGAACAGGAATTTTCATTATGTAAAATTTTATTTTTATTTTTACAGAGTTGATGTTTTGTGTAGAAATTTGTAAACAACATTTAATCAAAACCAAAGGTGTTGTGTGGTTATTGGGGCAGGGTTTGGGGATAGGTTTTCCTACTTTTTTTAGCAGCATATAACCAACATGTTTGATGCCCCAGTCTTTTCCATAGCTTGGTTTTCCTGTCAAGTCTGGTTTTGGTTTAGGATATCTTTAGCTGAGCTGCCATTGTATATTACAGAAAGCATAGGAAAACAATTCTGCAGCAAAAGCATCATTTGTTTTGGGAATCCTAGTTCATGAACAGCGATAGAAGCATGAAGCCATGCTCTCCAGAAGTTTTAGGATACTGAAATTTTGAAATTTAATATAAATATGCATACCTATCCTCCTTTCTCCCACAAACCAACATTACCAGCAGCTATTTTTACTTTGTTTTATTCAGGGGAGGGGAATGAAGACTTTTTCAGTATAAAAAAGATAGATATTTTTTTAATGAGATGCTTTTTGTGAAAATTATTAGTCAGTTGAGAACAAAAACTGTTTAACAGAAAACATTCACTGAATCATACTCTAAGGAACTTAATGATAAACTTGACAGAATTTTCCCCTTGTGTGAAGGTTTCCTTAAGAAGATGATATTCTGTATGGTCTTAACTAGCAGTCCTGAAGGAGGATCAAAGTCTTAGCATTTTAACAACTCCAGACAGAGTTTTCGCTGCGCAAGAATTGAAGGCTTGGAATATTTATCACTTTCTAACATAATGTTCAAAAAGAAAACAATTTAATAGGTGTCAAATTTATGCAGAAGACCATGCATATAATGCAGGAAAACTCTTATTTTTCTTTTATTTCTTTATTTGATTTGAAGAATCAAAGCACAAGGTAAATTAATTCTATTTGCCTAAAATCATGAATGTACTTAGATCTTGACATACATTAGTTGATGCATTTTCTTTGAATTCTTGTCTTTTCCCTTGTAATTCTCAGTATGTTTCTGTTACATGTAGAGGGACAAAGGGGAACTCTCCTGTGGCTAATCTAATACCAGTAGTTTTTGACATTAACTGATGATCTTGTCTTATGATTGAAACTTTTACTGGATAAAGATAAAAAATACCCCAAACCTCAGCCAATCTTTTATCCCATCATCTTTAATAATTCTGATTCCCTGTATAACATAGAATGAACTAGTTTTTATAACTAAATAAAACTATATATCAATGTAGAGCATAAGATGTCATCTCGATACTCAAATCCAACCCACTGCACCAACCGAAGTAGACTGCAGAGCCTCCTCAGACTTTGTAACTTAGACCCTGGCTAAATTATTGGAAAATGAAAATAAACAGCAACAGGAAAAAATTTTTACAATAAAACAAAACAAAACAAAACAAAACGAATTGCAAAGGTAGATTGTCAAGTTTGTCCAATGGCTCTGAAGTCTCTTATCTCTTCTCGAGAAACTCTTGCTTGATGTGTCCTCAAATAGTGATCTTTCACAGCTGCTTTACAGTACTTTTTGTTGGACTATACTTCAATAATTCATCTTAAATACATTCTGAACTATAATATGTTTAAATATTCATACTGACCAAATTATGGGTTTGGTTGCTTTTACTTTTTATATGAGTGAAGTGTTGCTACACAAATATTCCTATGAATATCATGGTTTTATGCATTTAAGGTAATGACTGATTTATTTCTCCAATTTCTTGCAGTATCTGCTCTTCTGCTGATAAAAAAAAAAACAAACCACAAAACAAAAACAAAAGCCCTGAAAAACTACACACATATTTGGCAAAATATTAACATGCGTTGAATCTATGACACTACTAAAATTCCTAAAATTATATTTTAAAAAATCTCTACACCTTGGAAAGGCTGTCAAAAATAGGTTGTCCAAAATTGTCAAGCAGTTTAAATTTTCTCTTCCAAATATCATTTCAGAAATTAGACAAATTTAACACTCAGATGATTTAGTCTGGTTTATTTTAATTTTCCTTGAAAGGGGGAGAATCAATACCTTTGCATTTGGCCATTTGGAGTTGTGTGATTACATCTTCAGTTTTTTGGTAATTTCAAATGGAAATGAAATTTCAAATACTTCACTTTTTCTGTTTCAAAATGACACATTTTTAACTTCCTGAAATTGTCCTCATTCCATTCTGTCCAAACACTATCTGCCATACTCATTCAAATGCGTAAAACATTTTAATGACTCTTTGTACTCAAAGAAATACTTCAAGGTGGTATCTCATCTCTGAGTCAGCTGTCCAAGTTGGTCAGGAGTTGCATTCGGTAGACTCAGAAGGTGTCTGAGCTTTATTTTAATACTGAAACAAAGAATTCTTCTGTAGTCTGGAAAAGTAAGAGCAGCTATTCAGGAAACCAAAATGCACTGTGCATGGTTTTAGTTTTTCTTGAAGGAATCTAATTTCCCATATTTTGTCTCAGCCAGGGCAGAACTTAATCTGAGATGGTTTCAAGTGTATGGTTTTCTGTATAGTACTGCCCTCTACTGATTTCAGATTTTCAAATTAACAGAAGAACTTTATTATTACTAAGAGAAAAAATAACACCCTTTATGTCAGGAAGGATATGACTCAGATTTGGGAATGGTAGATTTTTGGGGTGTTTTTTTTTTTTTTTACAATAGTTGGATGCATTAGGTGTAAAGAGCTACTGTTCTGGATCAGTCTGGATCGACTGAACATTATGGTAAATTACTTCTTCGAAAAGGAGCAAAGATCTTGAGTCTGAAACAAAGGAGAATGATTTTAATGGCAGTTTTTCCTAAGTAACTGATCAAAATTATACACATAATATCTCTTATTCCACTTCTGTTTCCACTATTTAATCTGTACAATGGTCAACTTCTTGTCAAACAATGGAAAATGTTTTTCTTTCTAATTGCATTGGGAATGTCTCTTAAGATGAGGTATTAATATTTTAAACCTTTTAATGTCCTAAATTGTGGAAAACCTACATTCTTTCTCCACTTTGCAAATCAGAGGACCTTTGTGAAGGCTATAAATGTCTTTTATTTTTACTGTTTAAAGTATCTGTAGTAGTAGCCTAAAAGCATTACAGTTTCTCCTTGCAGTAAAAAGTCTGATATCAGCAACAGTTCCAGGTAAATTAATCTTCTCTGTATGAAATACATTATTTTCCTAAGCACATTAGCAATTGGAAAAGATGTATCTTTTAAAGTCCTTTTGAATGTAAAATATTCTATTTAGATTCTTCAGGTGTAGTGTGAAATAAGCCCTGCTGGGATCAATAGCAGGGATTTGTTAGCAATGATGCCAATTTAAATGTTTCTATAGCAATTGCCATGGCAATGTTTTTAATTAGTACAGCACAGTCACTCACAAACATGATATGAAGAAAAGCTAACCTTCGGCAACTTGATAACGTGTCCTACATTAGTTTTCTTCTTTTGTTAATAGTGAAATAAAATTCTCTTCTAAAAGAAACAGGCTTTAGTTTTTATGTATAGCTAAAATTAGCAGAGTTAATTGCAGCAGCAGTTCTTCATACTGCACTTAAATATCTTTAAATAGGAAAGATGCATCTGATATTTAAAATCCTTAAAACAGGGCATAGCAAGTATCAAACTTGTGCAGCTTGCACGCATGGAAGTGATCTTTCTTACTGAATTTGGCTGTGTTTCTTTTGAAAACAAGAAAAAAACCCAATCTGATGTAGCTTTAATTTATCTAGACTGAATACTCACAATGGTGAAGGTGTAGCAGTAGAAAGTTACGCTATGAATAACACTGCCACCAGTAATACTAAGACTTAAGTAGAGGCTAGGTCTGTGCCACTGTAGGTTCACTCTTACAACTCCCCAAACTAATAAAAAGGTAGCCTATGTATGTACACACATGCTTCCCTTTGACTGCAGTGCTCAAATATTCTCTGAGTGCAGTCATTGTACAAACAGGAATATAGACTATGGATGTATCACTGATAGCTGAACCATTTTCTTCTTCCTAATATTTTTCCTTCCCTCTCCTCTCTTCATAGGTAAAGACAGGGTTGCGGGTAACATTGAAAAGATGAAAAGAGTGCATATTCACTGATCTCCCATGCTGAACGTGGGAGAATGAAGAAAGGTGTTTTCATTTATTTCTATGAAAGCTGACATAGATTTTGAGGGATCCCCAAAATTTAACGGACACATTTTTGACTGATGAACACGCATTCTTTGAGTACAAGTATTCAGTTCCCATTCAGGCACAGAAATATGGACCACATGAAAAAGGGAACATTTTCCCACTCAGCAGCTCCTCCTGAAAACCTTTTAGAACAGATTTTCAGAACTGCTTTTTGCCCATTGGGTTGCTGATCTGTT